TTCGGGAGATCGCTCCCAAGCTGACGGGCTGGAAGGGCCCCACCCTTTGCGTCAGAAGGGGGAGGATATCCCAAACATGCACTGCATGACGGTACTCCTCCCCAGATGCGAAGGGAAAGCCTACRAGTTTRCTTTGGGACTCGCCAGGAACCAAAACAGAGGGATCAATACCTCGGCCTGGCGGGTGGTTGACAGCAAAATGGAGGGTTCAGGCTGGAGGCTGAACTTGTGCGTGGACGMCGAGTCCTACAAATTCATCCGGAAGGAGGGATACCGTCTAAGCTATCGGTTTAGTACGGTAGTCATGAGGCCCTACAAACTGAAATCAACCGGCAAAGAAGGCGAGAAGATGCAGGTGGACGMGGAAGCTACTCGTCCCAGCATCATGCCGGCCGAGCAGGTAGCAACTGCGATCATAGCGGAAGTCCCAGAAGAGAAGCGGAAGAGGGGGAGCTACCCTCTACGCAGGAGCTCATGGAGGGACTTGAAGACCTTGCTGGCGCTGAGGGGGACGGAGCAGATGAGGACCAGCCCCTCATCGAACCGATCCTATAATGACGATGGCCGCAAGTATGGAAGTAGCCCAGGTAAGTCTGCATCACGCGGCATCAGCATCCGCTGTAATCGCGAGCAGGTTCTCGGCGGATAACCTGGGCATCCTGTTAATTCAGGAGCCATGGGTCCACAKAGGAGAAGTCCGAGGCCTCAATGTGGACAACAACAAGGTAATCTGGGATCTCTCCAGTGAGAGACCCCGAGCCTGCRTAGCAATTWGAAGAAATATTGATCACTTTTGTATTTCAGAATTCCTAACACAGGACCTAGTTGCGGTGCAGGTCAAAGACGARGAGGGGAAGGACTTCGTGTTGGCAACGGCCTATCTGYCAGGAGACACTTCAACTGCGCCCCCTGAGGTTGTGCAGGGCCTGGTAGACTATTGCGGGAAGAATAACATGCCCCTGGTCCTGGGGTGCGACGCGAATGCGCACCACACCGAATGGGGTAGTACGGACTGTAATACACGAGGTGAGTCTCHCMTAGAATTTATCATTAGCAATAACTTAAGTATTGAGAATGTTGGGTGTGAACCCACATTCGTCACTAGCAACAGGAGGGAAGTGCTGGACATTACCCTGAGCAACGAGCTCATGTCGGGGGTGGTCTCGCAGTGGAGGGTATCATCAGAACCCTCACTGTCAGATCACAGGATCCTGAGATTCGGGCTAGGGGTGAAGGTCATGAATATT